AATTTTAATGAGGTATTTATGTAAGAATTATTAAATTTTCATAACAAGATACTTTGTAAACTGGTTCAGACTGCAAGATATAGAACAAAGTTATGGTTAATGAAAGTTAAGGTGAATTTTTATTCATCTCTGGGAGGAAAACATTGTAACTATACATTTGAAACTATGCTGTGTTTTACTAGGTCAAAAGCAGTCTCAATTTTCTGTTAAAATATAATTTAGAAATACTATCCTCCTCTTTTTCCATTCCAGCTGTCGACTTAGACTAAAAGCTGGCTCGAGCTGAGCGTTCTGCTCTTCCACCATCTCTCTAGGAGCCACCGGTGGCTGAGGTGTTGGGAGAGCCCACTCTGTTACCACTGCTGATGCATTAAAGAAGGCACGACATAAACTTGTTACCCCATTTGGCTCCAACTCCATCAATGTTCTGGTTAACTTAGGCTGATTCCTTTCCATCACAAGTCCCATGGGTGACTCCCACCCTTCCCCTCAGTGTACCCAAACGAGGAATGCTCCATGTTTGATTCCTTGTGTTACTACTTGAGCTTGCCCGCCTGCCTTTGCCTACAGATGCCCAGCAGGAGACTCTGCTGCTACTATGGCTGTTCTGTAAGATTCAGACATCTCTCATCCACCAGTTCCCTCACCTCAGTGTGTGCTGCCAAGGAAACCAGTCTGTTGGAACCAGGCCATCCATGCCCTTAGAGAAGTGGGGGCTGCACTAAGAAGGAACCCAAACACTCGGCCATTTCCATGCTTGGGAGAGTCACTTCCCCTTTGAGAATCTTAATTTGCTCATCAGTAAAGTGAGAAGCATGGACCAGATGATTTTTCTAAGTTCCTTTCAGCTCTAATGATATAGAATTCATTAAAAGGGTGAAATAGGTGAAGGGGATTAAGAGGGACAAAATCCCAATTATAAAATAAATTTGTCATGGGGATGAAGGTCCAGCATAGGGAAAGCAGTCAATAATATTGTAATAACTGTATGTTGACAGATGGTAACTACACTTATCATGGTGAGCATTTAGTAATGTATATGATTGTCAAGTCACTATGTTATACACCTGCCACAAATATAATATTGCATGTCAACTGTGCTTCAATTGAAAAAATTTTTTTAATATAAATAAAAAACATTTTTAAAGGTGGAGAATTCTAAATTCTAATGCAGCCAGCTAGCTATTCCTTCTAATAAGGAACTTCAATCTAGGCCCCAAGGCATGACATAATGTTAGTCAGATCAGATAGAAGCTTCCTAGAAACTCTACTTTCTGTGACATTTTGTGAATTGAGTGGGGATTTAGGGGAAGGCACTACACCCTGTGTGTAGTAGTCTACAAATGTCAGCATCAGCAATTATAGAACTTGCATTATATGTCAATAAAAGGAAAGCTGTTTATATAATTAAACTTTTTTCCTTTTCTCTTCAACAATTAGGATTTTTTAATTTGAAAACTTTGTCATTATTATAAACTTGAGACTTATAAAAGAATATATAGAGTATATGTGTAATTTACGAGACAGAATGAACACTGAGCATCCAACATTCAGCTTTAAAATAGGAACACTGTCCGTACCGTTGTTTGCCTGTGTTTTCTCAAACCCTCTCCCATCTCCTTCCTTTGCAACATCACTGCCATCTACTCTGAATTTTATCAGTCACCTGTTAACATGATTCGATGTGTGCATGCATGATTTCTTAGATGGTGCAAAAACAGTATGTTATCAATGACTGCCTTTTACTCAGTTGAATGTCACTGGGATTCATCCAGGCTAAGTTCTGCTGTGTACTTCATTCATTTTCATATTGGCTTAAAACTCTATTGTAACAACAAAAGACAGTTTATTTGGCAATTCTTTTATTGACAGACGCTTGTTCCCAGTTTTTGCTATTAGGAACTACACAGCCTTGATCATTCTTGTATGTCCTGGTGTGTATGTGCAGGCTGTTTTCAAGCACATAGATACTTAGGAGTGGAATTACTGGCACACTGGGTATTCAAATAAGTTGTTTTATCAGACCAATTTTATAACCACCAATTATTTTCCTAGGTGGTTGCAGCATTTAAACTGGCTGAACAGAGCTTGTTATTATCAGACTTCTCTCTGCCACACACCCCAAGTAAAATAACTTTTAGATAAGATACCAAGATAACCCCCTCTTATACCAAGAAAACAATAGATTGGAAGAAGAATAGTACCTTATTTAGTCTTAATTTTCATTTTAATTATTTATGGGGTTTATCATCTTTTCATATGTTTATGAAATATTCAAGTTTGCTGTAAAATGCCCAATCATGTCTTTTGCCTATTTTTCAATGAAGCTGTCTTTTTTTGTTTTTTATTTGTAAGAATCTTTTCTATATTGTGTATTCTGCTTCTTTACCTGCTATCTTCTCCCCATTTGTACCTTGCCTTTAAAATTTTTTATGGTGTCTTTTGGTAAAAGGTTTGTAAGTTTAATGCAGCCAGAATTGTCAATAATTTCTATTATGATTAGTGCTTTTAGGGACGCCTATATTGAAATAATAAGTATTCTTATATTTTTAAAAAGTTTATTTCTGCCTTTAATATTTAAGTTCTTAAGCCACGTCAAATTTATTTTTGCATAAACGGGCATGGTATAGAGCAATTTTCTTTTTTCTTTTTCCTCATAGGGATAAAACAATTTCCTATACCTTTTATAAAGCAATCCTTCTCTTTCCCAGGGATATGTGATGTCATCTCCTCTTTCCTCTTCTTTCCATAGCTCTGTGTCTAGAAGCTCTTCTGTGCTGCACTAGTAAAATGATCTATTCCTACATGACTACCAACTTCCCTTATTTTTACAGTTATTAAAATGTCTCGATACTTTTCCATCGCTACCTAATTGTTATTTTTTGAGGTGTGCCTTGGTTTTTTTTTGGGCCTTTTAATCTTTCATATGAATTTTAGAATCAGCTTGTTAAGTTCTTCAGAAGAATATTTTTGATTTTTGATAGATTTTTAGATTTTGGCAAAAATATTATTGGATCTATAGCTCTGTTTTGAGACAGATGACTACCCAATGATACTCAGTTTTTCTAACAGTGAACATTGTAGATCTATTCTTTAGGTCTTGTTAATACTTTCCAGTGATTTTGTAATTTTCTCAATAATGGTCTTGCACATCTTTATTAGTTTTATTTGTAGCTAGTTTATAGTTTTTGTTACAATCATCATAAGAAGTTACATTTTCTGTTTATTAGTAAACAATGATTTTACATTCATTGCTCTGACAATCTCTTTAATTCTAATAAATTATTTGTACATCATTTTGAGTTTTCTCTTAAACAATCATATCACTTATGAATAATGAAAATTTTGTTTCCAATTTTTATACCTCTTGTTTTTCTTTCTTATCTCGCTCTTCTGGCTAGGATCTCTAGCACAAACTGAGTAAGAGTATAATAGAACATCCTTGTCTTATTTCTGATTTTAAGGAGAATTCTTTTGAAAGTTCATCATTAAAAATGTTAGCTCTGGGTTTTTGGTAGGTGGCTTTATAAATTTTAAAAGTTTACCTTTGTCTTTTAAGAAAAGTTTTTTTATTTAATCTTAAATGGATGTTTAATTTTATAAAATGCTTTTTTCTGTATTATTTGAGACCATTATTTTTTCCCACTTTAACTGGTTAATGCAGTTTATGGTATTTACACATATTTAGATAATCCAGGTGAATTACAGAACTGCTAATAAGCTACATTTCTCAAAACCTATTTCTTTTTGGTCCAAATCTTTCCGTTACAGTGGCCCCAGAATTCCGGTTTCAGTATGAAAGTATGTGAAATGTAATGGCAAACCATACTTCCCTTGGTTTCTCTAGTTCCCCTATTGATGTCAACCATTGCTGCATTTCTAGGATAAACTCCTTAGGTGTTCCTTGTTCCTAAATGTGCAACTTTGTTCGTGAATGAGATTGACTTGTACTTTTCTTCCTATTATATTGTTCTTTTAGGTTTGGGGATTCACAGAATGGATTGGAGTTCATCATAGAATTCCTTTTTTCTGATTCCCTAATTTGCATACATTTGAAACACTGTTTCAAAAGTTTAGTGAAAATACCAAGTTTTGGTATTTTCTTTGTGGGAAGATTTTTATTTTCTAATTAAATATATGCAATTTCTTTTTACTCTGTTTGATAAATTATATTTTTCTAAGAAATTGTTCACTTGGTCTACGTCTTGCTAGTCATGCTATGTTCATAGAAAGTCGTTCTACCTGAAGATTTCTAACATGCTTCTAAAAGTAGTTATAAAGAAGAATTTTAGGATCTTTACCATCTTTTTTATCTTTTACAGGTAACATCTGTTCACATTCTGGTCAGCACGACAGTATGTGAACTAGTTACAGCTCACCTGAGGGTCCTCTCAATGAATTTTTCTAGGAAGATTTTTTTTCTTGTCTCTTAATGCTGATTGTCTTAGATTTTTAATAAGAATATGTGGGAGTATTTCTTAGCCATCCCACCCCAACAAGGTAACCAATGTACAATAAATAGAATTGACAGTTTATTGGTTTAGCACCACAAAATACCTACTGTTATCATTTTGAGTCATCTGAAAAGGAAAAATATAAGAGCAGTAACAAAACTTCATTTCAAACCTCTTTTGTACCTCTTCTTAATATTTTGTCTTGTAAAATTTGAGTAGAAATAAAAACATCCCTGTTAAATGTGAACCTTCTGGGGAATCTAGATTTCTAGGTGGATGAGTGTGTAGAAAATGGAGTAACTCTTAGATATGTCAAGAGAACAGATTATAATTCCATAGTAAGTAATTAACTATTTGATTTGTTTGTAACATTAAAGACTGTCCATTTGGTAACAATATTCAAGGCCAAGCATAATCACACATGATAATGCTTACCTTCTGAGTTCATTCTTAAGAGTGTGCATTAACAGCCCGTAATTCATGGATGAAGTGTCGCACTGCCACTTGAAAGATGGAACATGTTGACATTTTGAAAATATTTTGCAGGATGAAACTGTTTGTTTAGATTCTGAAGTAGACAATGATATTAACTGGTTACAGCAAGAATATGTGAAAAGAGAAAAGGACTGGAGAGAAATTGATAAGAGGATGAGCCAGACACTGGAAATAAGAAGAAAGTTGATTGGCAGCAGAACACCTCTGAAGGACATTCTTAAAATGTTTCCTTTCTTGAAGTGCCCTTACCAGGTATCTTTATTCACTTGGGATACTCTTTGATTGTAGTGTCCAAATTGATTTTTTTTCTCTTTCCTCTTGGAATGCTAACAGACTGTGTAGCAAGATGGTGGGTGTGAATCTCAGTAAGGTGTGCAAAGCTCTGGGGGCTACTTCCAGGACAATTGGGTAAGAATTTCTGAAAGCATATTCTGATAATATGCACTGGCTGCCAGCAAATGTCTTCTGCCTTTAGACATATTGTAGAGGCTGGGGGACCACTACTTTAGGGGTGTTTTGGCAGTGTGACACAAATTTTCCCTTTGATTGCATTTAGATAGTCAGAATAGCTTATTAAGGAACTGTTAGAGATATATTAACAGATATATGTATGCAACATAACCCAAAATCTATTTCCTTTATAATTCCAAATCACTTCATAAAGAGGTCTTAAAATGTATAAAGTTTAATGGGTCAGTTTAAAATCCTTCCATTTAACTTATTTAAAAAGGCCATTAAAGGGTGCTATTTTTAGTGGAATTCTAGCTGTAGTATATAATGAATTACTCATCAAAATTTTTACCTGAGAACACATTTCATGGACCAATTCTGTGGGCATCATTAGCTATATTAAAAATGAAAAGTTTTATGTGTTTTTCTTCTTCCCCAGAACACTGAAATAAGAATTTGCCTGCGTGTTTAATCTGATAATAATACCTATAGCAACCATGTGAGTGCTTACCGCAGAGCGGGCATGTTCTCGGTGCTGTACATGGAGTATTGTATCTCATCCTCTCTCAGCAACCATAGCATGCTTAGTGTTTGCTTTCTTATTCTTTGGGTGGACAAAACCAAAACAGACCTTCCCAAACAAATGATAAAATCAAGTCTAACAGGACCAAAATGATTGACCAGTAATTTAACTGCCTTCCAGACAAAATTTAACACCCTTTAAAGGAACACTATTTAATCCAGACTTCCTACCAGAAGGTAACTAGGGGTAATAGTGAGTGGGGTCCCTCTGGTTTCCACCTGTGAACCCTGGCTATGGGAGAGCTGGCACCACGTATTGGATGCTAATATAGAGCATATACATCCTTCTGGAGAACCTTTCCCCAGCCCTGCAAGGTAATGCTACATAATGGTGTTGTATCTGTTATCAGAGGCCATTCTACCATTCTGTTGGTGGGGAAGCTGCTAAGAACAGATATCACTGTGGGGTATCTGAGCAGAGAAATGGTGTATATATATTATATATATGTTATATATAGATAGAGATATAAAATGTGAATATATACATACACACATGTGTATGTGTATTTTATACATATTATGTGTATATATATATATATTATATATGTAGAACCAAATTGAAATTCAGAACTGAAAATACACTTACCTGAAATGAAAACATCACTGGACAAGGAAATACATACTGGGACATGCAAAGAAAGTGAACTTTCTGTGAACTTGAAGATAGATTACTAGAAATGATCTAATCTGAACGACATAAAGGATTAAGATTAGCAACCTGTTGGACAAAACCTGTGCTGTGGAGAGAGGGACTTTGCTGTGGCTAACCATTCACAGCTGAGAATTTGGTTATATGAGTTTTGGGGAAGGTTGTGCAAATAAGTAAATACATTGAGGATAATGGAAGCCATGTTTCTCACTGTAAAAGAGAAAATCTGTGGAAAAGGAGTATGTCAGAGTAAGCCCTGTGGTGTTCGGTTGGAACTGAAGGCAGACATGTGAATATGGTTTTTAATATTTATATAGAGGTATATTAAGTTATAGATGTTTGTATGTTTACATGTGTGTATTATATGCAAAGATATATTTCCTAGCTTTGTATCCCTGCTTAGATGTTTTTGCTCTACAATAGAGCATTAACACCTTTAGCAATGAACAAACCAAGCGCTTAAATCTTAGTTTCTAAATACCATACTCCATCAAAAGGAACCAGGGGCTCTTGGAGAAATAGTTGACTGCAGGGCTGGGCCAGAAAAAATACAAGATGAGCCTGAAATATTGTGTGCCAGAAATTAAGGAAGTGCTCACAGACCAATAGGATATGTCGAGAGGATACAAAAGTCAGCTTGAAGCATCTCCTGCTTATCAAATCTGGACAATCTGATCATTAATATAAATAATGAAAGGACCAGTCATAACCATTTGAGTCAAATAGAAATTTATTAATCTGTAGTGATCTATGTACATGAATAAAACAAATGTGAGAGAAGAGTAAGCTCTGTCCTAAAGTAGAAAACCAACTAATAAATTTAGAAAAAAAGATGGAATAGAAAATCACCATTTGGCGACTATCACAGAAATACTGGATTCTGGCCAGAATCATCAGTGGATGCTTGTCTCATGGATGAAAGTCACGGAAGGAACAGGTGTTTAGATAAACTGAAAGATCTCCTCATGCAATATGACTATGTATTAGTAAGTACAGCATATATATAAACTAACTTAACAGTGAAGAAACCTGGCAGATTCCATCGTAACCAAGTGATCTAAGTTAATACCTGCAGTAACAGGAGCAACTACCACCTAGGCTTCCTGATGGAGTGAGAAGCACCAGCCTTCTTGCCAAAAGTGCATAAATCATGGAGAAATGTCATACAAACCTAGACTGAGACTAACAAAGTAACTGGACTCAATGAATATAAGGAAAAATGAAGCAGTTTCAGACTGAAGGAGACTAAAGAGACATCATCTTTAAATCTCATGTGGTTCTGGATGAGACCCTGGACTTTTATATAAAGAGCATGATTGTAACAACTGGCAAACTTCAGTGGGGTCCATGATTAGATTTTTTGGTTCTGATGGTTGTGCTCTGGTTACACAGGGGAGTGTCTTTGTACTTTGGACATACACACAGAGGGTTAAGGGGTAAGAGCGCAGTATGTCTATAGCTTACTTTCAAATGGACAAGAAATGTTAGCCCAGGAGGAAGGTGCATGAGGGGGATTTATGAGCTCTGTTTACCATTTTGGCAACTTTAATGTAAACTTGAGATTCTTTCAAAGTAAAAGGTGAAAAAAAAATCCTTTACCTATGCACCCAGGAAAATGGTGGATTGTCCACCTTCATGCCTCCCTTCACGGCTCCCTGCTGAGAGAACCCCTTTTCAGGTTATTAATCTATAGTATTGGCCCACTAAGGGTTGCTTGATAACAGAGACACTATGCCTCTATGGGAATGGGCATTCCAGTGTTCTCATAACTACTTTTGGACCAAGGCTTGGCCAATTGATGATCTACCAAAATATTCAAGGGATGATGAGACCCAGTGGGTTATGTCAGTGTTCTTTACAGTTTTAGGGACAGCGATGATTACATTAATCCTGCTGGTGTGCATGGTGAATTGTCTTATAATTTCTGTTAAAAAATAAAAAATGTGGGGAGGGGGCAGTCATGGTGAAATTCTCTGAGGGGAGATCTTGGACAGTGTCGGACAAAGGTGGCTTTGAGTAAAGGGGTTTCCATACAGGCAAACCGGTTTTGCTTTGGCCTTGTAGTTACATCTCCGACACATATTGTTTTTCAGCATTTGTCTGTCTCTAAAGCTCTGCTTTTCTCTTTAGGATGCTATGGTTGGGTATTTTTCAAGGTTTGCTTCCCAACATCCAAGTTTTCTTCTTTTGCTTCTTGCTGGACACTGCCCAAATCTGACAATGTAGTTTACCTGAAGAAATGTAAGGCCACAGAATTTCAGCTGGGTAACCAAATAGCCAAAATATGTATATATACTTTGGAACCTTCATTTAGTTGAGTCTGGATGCAAAGTCTTACTTCCATGGGCTTAGAAATTGGCCATGTCCATTACTTGTTTTTTTTTCCTATTGACTTCAGCTTTTCATTCTTTTCTCCTCTATTGTAAGCCTTTATTCTCCATAAAGCTACTCAAATAGTATACTGTACTTTAGACTAGCATTCTAAGTATGATATAATCCTGAAAGTTACTTCCATGCATTCTATACACTAGCTTTTCTTGTGACCTGTTGTTTTTCTTATTTTTTCAGCTGTTCAGAGAATTCCAACTTCTTACGAGGATAGATATTTATAAGAAAACAAGGCACATTTTGGAATCCTATTCAGAGACTATACTGACTTCTTTTTCAGTGGTGGACAATCCAATCAACATTGCATTGCAAGAAAAAATGAAACGGCACACAGATGAGGACATGTTGAAACGTTAGTAAACCTGGGGAAGTGGGGGGACTTGGCCTCAGGAATCTGTGTAACTTCGCGGTACACTCTACTTTGGTAATAAAGTGAAATGTGGGAAAGAAAAAATAACTTCTCAAATACAAGTTCAGGTATAGTTTTAAAGTGTACTTGGTATTGTAAAATTATATTTAGGAAGCTAGTAACCTGTTAATTTAATAATGCAAATCACAAGATAAAGCTTGCTAAAATCATCCTGGCTGATGGACAGTGTACAGAACTCTCATATTCTGGCCATGATCTGGAGAGCAGAACATGAGATCTTGAATGTTTTTTAGAAGGGGATGTTGATTAAAATGGTTCTGAAAGACTGATCTAAGAAGGCTAGTTTGTTCTCTGTAGAAGGTAATGATGCTTTAAAAAGTACATATGTTTTAATACGGCTTTGCTCACAACTGATAAAAGCTTATTTTTACTTGGAGTATAAGCATGTTTGCTTTGACAGATATGAAGATGACAGCCACGTGTTTACTTCTACCAGATGTTTTTGGGGACGATCCCAGCCTTTTTGTCATTGTGAATGAGAAGGTATGCTGTACGTCAGTGATCACTGGTTTGAGTTTTCACATCATCATAATTGATTTGAAAGCAGGGCGCTGGTCTATTTTGAAGGGTGTTTTTGTCATATATACAAATATGACATGTGGCAACAAGCTCATTTATTGTAATACCATAGTCAAACTGAGGCACTTTGTATTATTTAGCTATTTTACATATCACAGGGTAGTGACTCTACTATTTTTTTCCAGGTGCAAGTGTCCACACCCGTGTTAGAAGTTAAGAATCCTTTCAACATCGATGACTGTGAATTTTCTTTGTATTTAGAAAAAGAGAGGCTCGCAATGGTGGAGGACTGTGTTACAGCCATGGCTGCCCTCCTAGCTGCCTTTCCTGTATTTGGGATTGAGTGTCCAAGAAGACTATCCCAAACCCTCAACTTCCTGGACACACTGATTTTTGATATGCACAGTCCCTGTTTTCCTTGTATGAAAGAAAAGGAAAAGGAAGTTGGGTTTCAACACCTCGCCACTTAATAGTATATCAGAACTGACCCCTGGGACAACTGAAACTTTGTCAACAATTGTTTTGATTTAGGGTCATAGAGATAGGTATTAGAAAATCATCTTGTCTCAAAGATGCAAATGAATTTCCATGCCTTCTATCTTTATACTTAAATTCTTTGTGGAATTCTGTAATAAAATACTACTCAATTAAAGAGCTGTTTATTTTGATTTGCTTCTAAGAAATCCCATGGTTCAGATTACATGAACAAGGATGCATTGCTATTTAAAAGACACCACACTTCAGATTTACTCAAATCCTTCAGAATAGGGTATGCATGACCTTGCACTTAACCCACAGTACCCACTTTGAAAGACTTCATGCCCAGCAGCTGCACATTTGTGGCTATGGGCCGCCTCTTTGGCCTGTACATTGTTTGGAACCATTTTGAACTTGGACATTTTAAGAAGATGCGCATACTCCTCAGTTCTTTCTCCCAGCTGACCTGCCTGGTTCCAGATGTTTTGTTCCCATCAGTCATGTTTGCTGAGAGCAGGGGCTGCTTCATTCCTGGTCTCCACTCTGCCAGCCGACCTAGCTGGCAGATACTGACCATCTGGGAGCTGTGTTGTACCCCCTGCCCCTCTCCCTTGAGATGCACTGATGCACCTGGTTCCTGTCTCCCCACGTGGCCTCTCATTTCCCTGGCCTTGCCTTCAGCTGTCTGGGTCTGCTCTGGTTGCCACTCGGGCTGGTTTGCATCTTTAGTACACCCTGGCTTTCACTCCCAGGTCCACTTGTTATACGTATTTGTAAAGTGGGCTAAAGAAAAACAATGCGTTTTTTCAAATTGTCCAAAATTTCCAAAATATTTTCCAGTATGTTTACTGAAAAAAATCCACGTATGTTAGTGAATCCCCACAGTTCAAACCCATGTGGTTCAACAGTCAACCGTACTGCAAAATACTTATTCCATAACCTTTTTCTAAGGACTGTTCATTATGATGCTTAAGTCAGTGAGATAGAAGAAAATGAAGGATCAGCTGCCCATCTCTGCAATATATATTCACTACAAAGACAGGACTGGACAGGAAGAGTAATTCGGAGTGTGTCATTTGCATAAACCAAGTCCTTATTCCGCAGTTCCCATTTTCCTTCCTTTCCCTAGCATGTGCCTTTAGTTCCTTACAAACTTGTCTTTATTTCCCCCAATTATTCCCTACTCCCCCATTTTTGGTTTCACAGTCTTATTTCTCCTCCCAAATGAATCTACCAAGTTCTCAAAGATTCTTCCCCTCCGGAGTAACACACAGTCTCTATGGCTGAAGCTGAATCAAGGTCTCTCTCTATTCCTTTAGAGCAGAGCAGAGATCAGGCACAGAGCTGCAGGGAAACTGGTGGTTTGGCTCCAAAAAAGACAACAGCATGAGCTGCCCACGAGGGCAGAACCACATATACTTTCTTCCAAGGGCACAGCTGTCCTCAGGGCCCAGCATGGCCCTGCCGCTTGTAAAATACATTGCTTGACTAACATAACCCACATGACATAATTTTCTTTGGAGGCTGAGTCCACTGAATCTGGAAGATGCAAAACAGCAGCCTGGGGCCAACCTATAGGCAGGTCTCATTTGACTTGCATAGTGTTTGTAATTTTTAAAATGCCTTCAGATGGGAAGGTGCTATTAGTTCCACATGCCCTATCCTTCTCTCTTGTCTTACTCAAGCCTGCTTCTCTCATTTCAGGGACCTCCCTGTCATCACAGCTCCCAGTTTCCACTGTGAGAACTTAAGACTATTTCCCAAAGATGAAATGGTGAAAAGGTTTCTCTTCCTTGAGGTATACTGTCCTACCCTAAGGATGCTTAATGCCTTACCTCTTACTATATAAACATGCTGCCTGGGAAGAGTAAAAGTTTTCAGTGACACTTAAAAGTCTCTTAAAATGTGATACATATCTATAATGGGATACTACTTAGCCATAAAAAGGAATGAAATCTTGCCATCAGGATAAAATGGATGGACCTACAGGGTGTTATGCTAAGTAAGTCAGACAAAGACAAATACCATATGATTTCACTTACATGTGGGATCTAAAACACAAGACAAATGAACAAGAAAAGCAAGCAGAGAAATAAGACTCACAGAACTGGCAGCTTGTTGCAGGGGAGAAGGGAATGAAGAGTTACAAACTTCCAGTTGTAAAATAAGTCATAGGGATGAAAGGTATAGCATAGGGAATATAGTCAATAATACTGTAATAACTTTGGGTGGTGACAGATGCTATACTTCAGTGGTAAGCATACTGTAATGTGTAGAACCATCAAATCACTGTGTTGTACACTTGATACTAATATAATATTGAATGTCAACTACTCCTCAATAAAAAAATTAAAAAAAACTGAAGAGCAAAATTCTCTTTTGTTATAATACATGCTTTAAATCAGAAAGGAAAAAATCCCCAATGGGTGTGAAGCCTGCTTGACCTCACAACATAATTTTTGAAAAAATAATTTTGTCATTCACCCCATCTGGGACATAGTTTGACAAACAATTCTGAATCTATTAACAGTCTGATTACATAGCCAGCTAATGCCCATGTGTTTGATACTGCTCCTGCTCTCATCCACCCCTATTTAATAAGCTTTCTTAAAAACCATACTTGTGTTACAAAGTATCTGCAATTCAGATTTTATTTCATTCACATCAGGTATAACAAATGCAACTTGAAAGTACAATTTCTGAACAAAACATAAAAAAGGAAAAAAAAAACCAACAATGAAAAACTTAAGCAGATTCATGCAAAGAAATGAATGGGACACTGCAGATGTCACAGGCCTTGTTTTACCTTGAATTATAACAAGTGCCAAGGCTGCTAATTAAGTCCTATATCAGAAGAAATGAGAGCAACTAAGGAGAGAGGTGTAACTTTCCCCAGAATTCAGACAGCATGCTTCAAGTTTACTTATGACTTTTAAAATAGTCCTTAATAAATGTCCAATCCTAGAATTAGAAATTTCATTCAAAGGTTAATAAAATAATTTACCTTTTGTGATGGAAATGCATTCTTGCAAAAGAAACACTACCAGCTATCTGTTTAAAGACAATCAAGGGCTGTCATTTAAAGTGCATCTGCATGCTCAGATAGTGAGGCGAACAGTTCCACGGAGAAAGGAATTTCTCCCAAATGGAGGTTCTTGAATAATTCCTTTGGAAGTTGATTCTCCGATCAGTGAGCATTTATAATCTTTGTGTCAACTGGTGCTGCTTACTCGCTTATACCCTTGGCTTTTCAATAAAACCTACACACTCTCTTTTCAGTCTACCATGAAGAAAACCTTTGGATTTGGAGGACACTGCAAGATCTGAGACAGAGCTCTTTATGGATTAGTGTTTTCTAATGACAGATCAAGTCTTTTACCTCTGAAAAGCACCACAATTATTTCAATGACAATTAGAAAGAAGCTCAAGATAATCTCACAAATAGTTCTAGATTTTTACAAACACTGCCTCAGATAAACTGCATATTCTTTGATACCACTGGACACTTGCAAACACATAAGGCACCATGATGTATGAGATTGATGCCATTCAGATACATCACCTAATTTATTCATATATTTTATTTTTCAATTTCATTTATATACACATTTTTGGTAATTATAGTAAAGATGCTGGTGAAAAGTAATTTGCTTAACATTCATAATACGTGCAAAAGTAAAAACACTGATATAAAGAAAAGTAATCTTTACAACTATTCAGCCCCAACAAATTTATGACAAGCAGTTAGGCAATATCATGACTTGCAAAGTTATACTTAGCATAATGTTGCAATTCAAAATATGGCACAGAATTAACAATACAGGTAAGAGTCCCATGGGCTAAACTTAGCCAGGTTTTGACAAATTTGGTTTAAGTTGAAGTTTGATTATATAAAAAGGTTCCTGAAAGTATTGAAAAAGAAACAGTGTACATGAAAGAGAATTCAACAATGTTTACAAAATGCCAAAAGTTCTTACTCTGACCCCCCCATAGCCATAAATAATTAATGAAGTCCCCCCTTCCCCCCACCCCAGCCTCAAAAAGATTTACAAAGATAAATTTAGCTCATTGAACAGAACCTAAAGAGGACTGCTGTTAGTGCCTGGGGTTAAAAGCTCAAGCACTCATAAGAATTCATATATATTGTCTCTTGAGGAATATAAATAATCTGGTAGCATTGCTCTTTTGAGTTCTGGAGACTTCTTACTTGGGAGTTATACTGTCCTTGTGCTTTGAATAAAACATTAGCTTTAAAGCAGAAAGCTGATGGTATTCAAAATGTACTGTCTTCAAAGTTCATTGTGAGAGTTCTTCTCTGCAGCTTTGAACATCAGGATAGAATTGAAAATTTTGAGAGCAGGGCCCAACTTAATGCTCATGATTTTAACAATGTCTGTTTGGGTCATAAGCAGAAATGCTTCTCCATCAATTTGCTAAAATGGGAAGAAAAGAATAAATATTGTGAATTAGTTGCATGTAGTGTGGGAAATGCTCAAGGCTAAATTAATCTGCTGTCTCTATACTGCAAATTAATACCACTCTAAATTCTATAAACAGTTTACTAAATGAAGGGTGATATAATTAAGTAGTTGTTTCTTAAGATTTTTCTCTTTTCTGTAAAAATAAAAAACCTATAAATCTAAATAGTCTATACACTTAATCAGTAAGAATTAGACTAACCTTATACAACTTCAAGTAACAATTATGTGGAATACGTTTTCGCTAATTTTCAGCAAGGAAACATCCTGCTGTCACATAAACCAGAAGAAAAGACATTCCAATGTTAATTTTCAAGTGTAAGACAAGTGTCAGCTCTGAGTTCTGTTCTATTGTTTTTTGGAGTCTTTTGCTCTGGTCTCCTGTGCTTGTCTGATGAAGGCTCTCTAGTAAGGCGAGGCCAAGCAGAGGCAGGTCTATGAACACTCCGCTCAACCAAGGCACATCTTACTAGAATGACCAGTCTGACAGAAGTCTTCTAAGTCATTAATGAAAGTGTCAACTAACACACCAGTTCCCGGGGAGCTCCCTATAAGAACTGAATGGTTTATTATAACCTTGAGACTATTGAGTGTAAGAGTTGAACCTGACAGATAGCCAATGAAGAGGAACATTCAGAAAATAGAGGCTAGGATCTTAACATTAAGAGTAGGATGAGCAGAAGTGATGGAAATTATTACTGTTAAGGTTAAGGTTACCCTGGAAAGAAAAACCTCATCTTCAGGCCAGTACCTAATAGTGTAGTATGCACAGGCTGCGCTGATGTGTGGCCATAAGGTTAAGCCTCAACTGGATGGAAGTTAACTCAAGAAAGTACTATCTAAAAACAGTGGTCACTGCAGTGTGATACTGGGTTTATTTTTTGTTTGGTTTGTAATGCATAGAAACTGTTCTAACTCCCAGAGATTTAAGTATTTGGGTAAAGGCCCAAAACTCTAAAGGATGGTTTGGAATTCGGGGTTCTCGCCTTTCATTTCATTACCCTTTCCACTCATGGTTCTTTTCCAATGTTTTAACTTTGCGAATCACAGCAACAAGCTTTTTGAATGTCTTTCTCAGAGTGTAAAGGTGTGAACATATTCACTCAATAAAAACCTATTAAACATCTATTATACTCCAGACACTCTCTTTGTGCCTGGACATACAGAAGAGAATTAAACAGATACTTCAATCATAAGTAAACAAGCAAAAATTCCTTGTGGAGTTTACATTCTAGTAGTGGGAGACAGAATAGACTAAAAGCAAAAATCCTAATAAGCAAATTAATTAGGAATTAGTGAATACTAAAAAATTCTAAAAGGTGATTGTGCTATGAAAAAACAGCTGGTTGGGCAGATGGCTGGGCAGTGGAGGAGGGACGGAGGAGTGGTGTCAATCTGAAGCAAGACTAAGTGAGAAGGTGGCTTCTGGACAGAGGGGTAAGCCATGTGACATCTGGAGGAAGAACATTCCGGGCGGAGGGCAGAGCCAGAGCATGCGTGAACAATCCGAGGGATGGCAAGGAGAGTGTGGAACATGTAAGCAAGGGCAGAGTAGACAGAAGTCAGAGGTGAGAGGGGTAATGGGCTGTCAGATAGTGGGCCCTCGTAAGGCTTTTGGCTTTTACTCTGATTTACCGTTGGAAGCATGTGAATGGAGGAGGGACATGATTTGACTTATGTTTTAGCAGAATCACTCTGTGCTGGGAACAGATTGCAGAGGAGCAAAAAAAAGAAGCAGGGAGACTGGTTAAGAGATATTTCAAATCTGGGTGTCAGATGATGCTGGCTCAGACCAGACCAGAGTGGTAGCGGTGGAGGAAGACAGGTAGTCAGAATCCTTGCAAGTTTTTAAAACACACCCAATAGGATCTTCAACAGATTAGATGTGGAGTGTGTAAGAGAAAGAGCTGTCAAGGATGGGTTCAAATGACAGCCCATCCTAACACCTGTACTTTACCCCTTCTAATGATGACTTACAAGACTTTAGTTAGATCTGTTATATGGCTTATTTCTAGAACTTAAAACAACACCTGCTGACCTTGTGAGACATTTGAGAGAAAGCTGCGTTTTGCTATCTCCACAACAATCTTTACATGGAGTAACATATATATGGTAGGAATTTAACAAGAGTTTATAGGATGAATGAATAAAAGAATGGGTGGATATACGAATGATACATGTGGACAGAGAACATTCACTATCTCACCCCTCACAAAAAGGATCTGGCTTTGAGGATATCTGGTGCCCAAAGAGTCTCTCCAAAGATAATACACCATAAAGAAAAAAACTTTTATTCAAAGAAATAATATAGCATTTGAATTTGAACCTTGAAATAAATAACAGAGCAAATCCACATGGATTATCTAGATATTAACAGAATAAAAAACAGAATTTATAAAATAGATGTACTGATAAGTTTTTTACTAAAGATGTTTCACCATTTTTAAGTTAATAACTAACACATTTTCAGAGAAAAGAACAACAGCCTCCCTTTCAGGGAGGCTGAGTCTGTTCAGGGATCAAAAATTAACTGAGAGTGGTCCGTAAGACACTCGGGAGCTAGGGAAAGGAGCTGAACATCTGAATAATTGCCAATCCACTAAATCAACTAGAAAGATGAAACATTTCTGAAATAAGAACATAAATCAGAAAAAGGATGTTGAAGAATCATATCTCTGTGTGCTTCAACAGGCACCCATCTAAAGCATAAATGTTGTCTAACAGAATAACCAATCTCATGGCCAGCAGCCATCCTGAGACTCGAGGCTCTTCAGTGAAAGTGGACGATTCTTAACAGTGAGGCTAAACAGGCACAAACAAGTCATCACCCTGGACAGCAGATGTGGGAAAAAGCCTCTGAGATTACTTAGTCTTCTTTCTACCTTCCAGTAGCCAAGATCAGAGTGATACTTGACTGTTCTGCTTAGCGGAGCTGACAGGCAAATGGCCTGGTTTTAGAGGTCTCTAGAGACGTCTCCTGCTGTGCTCAAATAGCATTACTCCTAGTGTAGTTAGAGGCTGAATTCCTTTTAGTTCTGATGCTCAGTATAGGTGGTAACATTATTAATCACACCTTATATTGAAGCTTTGGCCATACAGATGAACAGGCAGTTGAAAACAATAAAATAATCTTCCAATGGCTGATTTTAATGAACATAATGTTCATTATAACACATAATGTTGAGTTATTATAAACATTACTGACAATTATGTAAGATCTAAGGGACTGTTGCAGCAATAATGGTAACAGTATTTATTATAAGCATCAAATAAAGTTAATCCTTGTGTTAAAATGATGTCTGAAAATAAAATAATCAGAATTAATTTCACTTTATTAAAAATAAAATGTTACTATTTCATTCTTTGGTTTCTTTCTATACCATACATGCATTGTATTAAGTTTGTGTTTAGGGAATACAGTCAATAATGTGTTTTATTTTTTTTTAATAATGAGCCTATACTGCTGTGGGGCATCATAAAATGGTACAAACATTTCCTTTGCATCTAATTTATACAAAGACTTTTTTATACAACTGATTCATGCTGCTTGTTACACAACTCTGCATTGGTGTTATCAGTTTCAATACAACTCATTTCTTCCCTCCTCTACCAATTCAAAATATTTCACCATTCATTCCATTTCGGTGCTTTGATCCTATTAAGTAACATACTGCAATTTAGTGCAACACTTACTTCATCTTTAAATACCTTTCCATGTTCTTCACACCCAGGCAAGCTTTGTATGAATTCTGATACCTGTCAAAAATAAGATAAAAAACCTAGTTTAAAAAAAGAAGTCAGAATCTAAATGCTACAGGTTCAAAATATTTAACCTATTATGTTTCAGCTGTTTCTCTCAGTCTAAAGTCTTCTCTTTCTGAAAAAATGACTAACCCCCACACACATTCACTGTGTTCACTCTTAAACCAGGACTGCTCTCTCTACTCCCTGGCAGACAGAGAAAGTGAGATATACCTCATCTGTGCTCCATTTGGAAACTTTACTGGCAGGGATTCCGGCTACGGTTGGAAGGAGTTTGCTTTGCTGCTCCCAGCGCAAAGGCAGACATGGAATTGGGGACTTGAAGGACAAAAAGACAGCCGACCGACGCTGTGCCTGCTGTATGCCAGGCTCTTCCCGGGCACCTGAGTGATTTAAACAAATGGGAAATCACTCTCTGGAAAGCCCCCAAAAAAGCCCCAAATGCCATGCGTCTCCTCCAAATAATGAGTTGGGAAGGTCAATTAAAACATTGGTTCTTTTCAACATTTTAGCAATTGAATAATTGCACTCTTCTTTATCTTTACAGAAGGGTACCTTAAGAAACAACCTGTAAATTCAACTTACACCTTTGCTACATCACCCACTATTGAAGACATGTGTCACTGGGCATTCGATGTTGTCTCTTTAATGCTTCAGATAGAAATTTGCCCCCGAGCTTTGGTGGCAAGGAAAATAACTCCCACCTTAAGAAACTGTATTTGTTTCCCTTCCAGCCTTGGATGCCCTAAAGGTAGCAGCCAAGTTGTACACTCAAGTCCAGCCACTGTGTTTACCCTGCAGTTACTGTATCTGTTCTCTCCTTTTATCTCTGCCCTAGTTTGTCCTTTCAGTTTCTATTTCCTAAGCACACCTAGACTTTTAAAACAGCCAACTTAATTTCTTTTGGAGGATATAAAATTATTACAATTAAAATAAAACAGCAGAAAGACAGATGCTTGTGTCCTTTTTCATTTGTGGACATCAAAATTAAAACACAGAACATTCTATTTATCTTCTAGATCTTCTGAATCCAAGCCTAGTTTACTGCTGCTCTCCTAAGATTTTTTTTAGAAACGATTTTATATCCTTGAGACTCTTTAGAGTTTTTCAATCATTATCTCCTTAAGATCCTTCAGAACAGAAATCTCTTCTGGAAGCTACTTACTCAAAGCTCATCAGAAGAAAGTCACCACCCCCAAAACACACAAACCAGCTCAGCTACAGCAGTACTTCAATTCTGCCACACATCTTTGCCAGATGGTCACCTAAGTTTGGGTTTTTTATCTCTGAGTATTTAAACATTTTTTTCCTTCAAGAGTAAGATTTACAGAAAGGTACACAAATCATAAGTGTACAAAACTCCTAGAATTTTCACAAAGTGAGCACATCCATGTAACCAACACCCAGATTAAGAAACAGAACAGGGCAACATACCCCAAGTCTCCCTGTGTCCCCTCCAATCACACCCCACCCAGCAAGGGTAACCACTCTGCTGACTTCCAACACCACAGATTCTTTAACCTACTTCTGAATTCTATTTAGATGAAAACTTTGGTGTCTGGCTTCTTTCTCTCAATAGCACATTTGTGAGATTCATCCACATTGCTGTATATGATTGTAGCTCGCCTGCTCCTTGCGGTGTGGCTTTCTGAGTATTCCATGACTGATTTAGAATGGATGGGTATTTGAGTTGTTTTTAATTTTTGGCTACTAGCAACAGTGCTGCTATGCACATTCTTGTACATGTCTTTTCTTGAACATATGTATCTATTTCTGCTGCACATATACTGCAGAGTGAAACTCTGAGGCTACACTGTTTGTGTACATTAAGCTTCAGCAAATTCTGCTCATTTTCCAAAAACAGCTGTGTAATATGCATCTGCTAACAGTGTAAGAGTGTTACCAGTGCTTCACTTTCTCACCAACATGTGGTATTACCTTTTTCATTTTAACCAATTTGATGGATGTGTCATGGTATCACACTGTGGTTACAAGTGCATTTGTCTGATGACTAAGGAAGTTGACAATGTTTTCCTATGCTTATTGGCCATCAGGAGAACTTCTTTTGTGAAGTCGTAAGTTTTATGCCCACTTCTTCCCCTGGGTCACCTTGTCTTCTTCTTCCTTAACTGATCTGTACAAGTTACCCATATATACTCTGGGTGGAGATCTTTTGTTGAAGTATCACAAACATCTATTCCCACTCCGTGTATTCCTTTTTACTCTCAATAGGTTCTTTTAATAAACACAAGTTCTACTATGGTTAGTGCTTTGAACATCTACTGAAGAAATCTTTGCTTACCCTGAAAACAACTTCATTTAAGTGAATGTGCATTTGATTCTTTGAATCACATAGAAACATGAGTTCAGGTTTTTACTTTAATATGTGATATAGACTAAAATACATGCAAATAGACTTTGGCTTAAAGTAAGTTGCCTTAGTGCTAAGAGTAAGGAAGAGTGGGTTTGAATGTGCACAATGTGCTTCAGAAAACAGTCTTTTGCTCTGGAAGACACTTTTGCTACCATCATTTCACTAGAGTCTTATTTCTCACCACCTTCCTCTCAAACTATTTACCTGCATGAAAAAAAATACTTTTTAGGAATTTTTCTGTATTTTTTTAAGTTTCCTGAAATGAAAATTTATCAAAGGTTTATATATCAAACTCTCTTCTTCCCCACCCATGTGGTTTCAGGTTTGGGGCTTCCTTTCAAAGTTCTGCAGTTCTACTCAATTCCCTACCATGGGAGGTAGAACCGACTGGGAGTGATTTCCAGATCTAGTTCTTACTAATCCCTGCTAAGGTAAAATATTGTCAGAAGAAACTTTTTGCTTTGTCTAGACACTGCCTAGATGACTTGTAATTTTTAAGGCTGTTAGGGATGTGTATTTCTGGTATATCCTGCGGAAGAGAAGGAAAGAGGAACAGGGGAAGGAGCACTCTCAACAAAAATAGGAGACTGATTCTTTGAAATTTAGGAAGGTATGACGATCAGTGCCACCCCTGTCCCCAGTAAAAAGCAATGGCTTTTTGTGGTATTTTTTCTTTCTTCAAAAAATGTTTTTATTCTAGTTTGCTTAAAATAGAAATAAATTAGGACAGGAATGCTTAAGCAAAAATGTAGGTAAAAATATTTTAGGCTAAGAATGACTAAAATTACTATAGAGTGGGAATTTTAATTCTTTCTGATTCTTGATCCAACAATTAATTTTATTTGTAGAACTGAAGGTATCACACTCAAAAGTGGCAAGACAAGAATTAAGAAACCTTATAGTATATTAAAATAAGAGACAGCACAATGCAGAGAAAAATAATATTATGTTTATGAATCAATACATTCAGACCAATATTCAATCAAATAATCACAAATTATTCTTAAAATAAAACATTTTTTTTTTTTTAGTGAAGCATGTATGAAAGAGACAGACAGACAGAGACAATGAGACCTGGTCATGTTGAAATGGCATAAGGATCAGAATGTTTTAGTAGAAAAGAAATTAAAAAATAAGATTTCTTATGCCACATTTGAAGGATGAAATCTATGCAGAAGTCAAATCAGGAACAGCTGAAAAGCAGTTCCTAGTCTTAGAATATAGTACCACAAAGGTGCCTGGCCCTACAAAGCCATGAGATGCTACATAGCACAGGTACTGTACTGTTAGGAGCTCTTACATTCAAATTTCAAACCCTCACTCGCTGTACAGGACCAGCTCCTGCATATGCCCTCAGGGTCAGCAGGATGCTCTGCACTGATCAGACTGCACCTTTCAGTGAGACAGAAGACATTTCCCATTATATCATCATCACACTAAAGTAAGACAAAACACTCAAAGTCTGAAGAAGCAGTTGGCAAAAGTCTTTCCTCTCACCTCCAACAGGTTCCCTGTGCATTATTATCCTTTGACTCAGTAGGTCCCAGGCCAGAAATTCATCTTAAGGAACTAATTAAGCATGAATGCTAATAATCATCTATTAAGAAAGTAACTGTAGAGGTTCTTTGCTAGGTACATAATTATACCCAGAATGAAGATTGCATGTCCCCGCAGCTAGTAGATGGGGCCATATGACTTAATGGGATACACGCAGAAAAGGTATTTGCAATGTCTTGGAAGCTCCGTGCCCAGCACCACTCCCTCACCCTAACCTTCCTCCCAACTGGGTAGAATACTATTGAATGGCTAGCCCTCCAGAACCATCTCTGACCAAGATATGGCTGCAAGGCAGCATAACAAGACAGATGGAACATGATTTCTAGATCCCGCTGAGTACCATTAAATCCTGGAGCACCTATCTCTGAACTTCCCCTGAGAGGGAACTAAACTGCTCTTACCTTACATAAGTCACTAACATGTGTTCTGTGTCACACACATACACACAAACCTAATCCTAATCACTAAGGTTTTTTTTTACTACAATAGTGTTTATAACAGTGAAAGATAGAAAACTACTATCCTAGGTAGCCAAAGGAGATTGGTTCAGTAAATGATGTATATTCAACCCTAGGGGGAATAGTTAATATTATCTTGCAGTTATCAAGATATATGACAACAGTTGCAATATTATATACTTAAAAAACTAAAGGTTATAAAGTAATTTGTATAGCACTTCAGATACGAAAAGTAAAAAAAAAAAAAATAGGTACCAAAATTCAGAAAATGGTACCTTAGAAAATAAAAATACAAAATTAAATAAACTATTTATTATTACTCAAAGATAGTAATGAAATATGCAAGTCTCACTTTGGTGACTAGGAAAATTTAATGCATTTTTGGAAATTATTATTAAAACATCATCAATTTTTGGGCTTCCTTAATATCAGAAGCAAGAAATGTTAGGTGGGAGAAGTGTAAAGAGAATTAACTTTGTGGATCTATAGATGGTTTCACTATTTTATCTCTCTAGACAATTATCAAATGAGGAATATTTTTCTTCTGTTAATAATTGAAAACAGGAGGGAAAAAGGTCTGCCTTTACTATTTATGATTATTATTTATTATATGGAAATTGTTCATTTGGCAATTATTTATTCAGCACTTAAAAATTTATCAGTAACTATGGACACAGCATATTATCAATACAGCAGCACATCCTTGCAGACTTGTAGAAATTTGCATATACAATCATGTTGCTCAATCTCAATACAGGTATTAAAATTCTTGCTTTGGCTTAGGGTAGGAACGAGTGATGCAGAAGATGAACCCTCAAAAAGACATTTCTGATACAGGTGACCCTGAAAGAAATATCCTCCAATGTTTCATGTAAAAGCAAGACAATAAATCTTCAGTATAGGGAACACCAGCTGAATCAAACATGTCTCCTAGTAGAAAAAGATGTCCTCACCACCACAGCGCATGAGAACCTTCTTCCTATAGGTCTGTTCTCACGAGGGCTCAGCAAAACCACTGCGTGGGAGGCCGACCAAGCAGGGCCCGTTCAGAGGAAAGAGAACGACTCATTACGCTCCCTGCTACCTGCAGACTCAATTCCACTCGGCTTCTTACTTTCAAGTCCGAACAGTCCAAATCAACAAACTACAGCATTGCGTTCCACTGACTTCTTGTCCTGCCTCATTCCCATCCCTTTACGCCAGTGACAAACATGAGACAACAAACTCCAACTGCTTTGTTTCATTATAGTTTCAAAACAATGCAGGATAGCTATCCCTAAAGTGAGGCAATGTCCGCCGGACAGGCTTGAAGCCGCGCTGTGAGACTGGGAGCATCTGGGTCTCTTGCCTCCGAATACAAAGTATAGGGTCACAGTCAAGAGGGTAAGTTTGAATCTGATAAACCTAGATTCAAATCCCTGCTCTGCTGCTCACTAGCTCTATTACCCTGGCTAAATCAGTGTAACAGGATTGTTATAAGCATTGCTTGATATTTTTAAAATGCTTATTCTAGTGTCTGACATATAGTAAAGATCGGCAAATGACAGAAATTATTCCTGTCTTGGAAGGAAGGCGTATCACTGTGGACTGGGTTGGATATAAAAAGGCAAAAATGAAAAGGAGTCAATAATTCTTTCAGGCTAATATTCCATGAGTCTGTGAAATACACTCAATGTGAAAGGAAAAAAATAAAGCCAGAAAAAAATGGGATTAATCTGTCAATCAATTTTTTTTAATGTAGTTACTAACTAGTGACTAAATATAAAAGGATGAACAATAACAGTGATTGAGTGAAATAAATGGATCACAGCATCAACAAACGGAGATAAATTAGCTCCAAGATACTAAATTCAGGAATGAAAGATATTTGAGGATCACTTCAAGGTTAATAACCAAAATAACAAACCAAGTGCTACGGAGGCAAAAAGGAAGTCTGATTTTTCCAGCAAGGATCTAGCATGTTACAAAATGGAATTCAACTCATTCTGCTTATCAGCCACCCTTGAGACAGAAAGAGGGAGAGAAAACAAAACTGTATTTTTCCCAGGAATACAAGAGCTTAAATTTGAAGGCCAACATATAAAATCCTTCATTGATGGGCCTCTGACAATGGTGGCAATGAGTTATTTTATCTTTGAGGGAAAGGAGATAGAAGCAAAAAAAAAGAAAGAAAAAAGTGATCATACAATGTTTGTATTTAGTAAAAATTCACCAAGGTCAAATTCAGTCGCATGGTGGGTATCATTAAAAAAAAAAGGCTCATGATTATAAGATTTTAGGTTAGGAAAGAAAATAGAGGAGAAACCATCTCAACGACAACACAGGTTTATGGAGATAAACCAACAAAGGACTGAAGCTCCCACCCGCTTACAGGCTGGAGTAGGTATGGGGCAGAGGGAGAAGGTATTTTCTGAGGTGGGAAATTTTGCGGTTACTGTTGCTAGGGGTTGCTAGGGAGGTAACTTTTGAAGTTGTGCTGAGAGGGGCCACGTAGGAAATTTCTTTCTTCACAAAATGGAGACGGTGTTAAGATGGCAAACCTCATGCTAACCATGATTATATATATCTTGGATGGAATTAAACTGAATTAACTGGAGAATGGTGGGAGGATATCTTTTTAGAGGGAAGGTTCTTAAAAAATCAATTTGCTCCAAAACTCCAAATGAAATAGTTCTCGTGGGTCTACTGAGTCTTAAATCTTGCTGGCATTGTGAAGAAATTTAAGATGACTTGTCAGCGCCCTCTATTAATAACCAGTGCACAAACCGCAAGGGGCTTTCTCTCCTATGCCCTATATCACCTCCCACCAGGCTAGATTTGGAGAAGGTTGCTTCCACCCCTGGGGGAGTGGAAATGTGAATGAGCACTGGAAAAGACCAGCTGGGCTCAAGGATGCACCCAGAGTGGAGCACATCTACCAGGCCTTCAGGCTCAGGTTAGAAAGGGGTTCTACCAGCAGCCCTACCAGAGTGCTGAGGGGTGAGTGTTCTTCACAGGGGACCTGGGGAAACCTCTCTCCAAGTGAAAACAGAAAACCATCACCACAAGGCCTCTGATAAAAAGTTCTTTAGAACATCGATAGAGGAGGACTGATTTGTTGACAGAAGAGTTTCATGGTTTTGGTAATAAGGCACAATGGGAGGTGACCTCTACAAAACAAAAACAGTCTATGTAAAGAAAACAAGCCACTGTTGGAAATTAAAGGAATACTGTTACATTTCATGTAAAGGCAGGTAATAGTAGACTGGACAGAGCAAGAGGCTGCGTGAGGTATTTCAACTTGAGAAATATGTCTAGAACAGTAGTAAAATACTTCCACACTGGTTGGTAATAGTTACTCTCCCTGCTCCCCACACAGTCAGGCCCTTGAAGGACATCCCTATGATCAGCAACTAAGTGTATGTACAGCACAGATCTTCCAAAACTGCTTGAGCACTAAGACCAGTGTTTATTTTAACTGTTCTGTGCAACTAGTCTGGAAAAACTTTCAAAATGGTAAAGAAAATCTCGAGCTCAGAAAGGAGTTAAATGAAAGTTAACAATCATAACATAATTTCACTACAGATAAAATTAGTTTTACAAAATGTTTCAAAAAATTTGAAAATGAAGGAAAATTATCAAACTCATGGATAAATCTGGAGGCTAAAACTGGATGAGATATTAATAGGCAAATCTCACTTTGGAACATATGTGCAAAAATTCTCAAGGCAACTTATTTTATGAGGCTCACTGCCACTAATAAAAAATAAAACTAAGTAAAATATGCATATTGAACTATAGGATTTCTAGGTGAGAAAAATAATTAAGAGTTATATATAAATCCTATCAATGTTTCTTTGGAAAGAATAATAAAACAAAAACTCAGGCGATTCAAATCAAGAAAAATAGGACCCAAAATATACAAAGTTTGAAAAGACACAAGACTATCACAAAAAAAGAGAACACCATACATATTGTATGTTAACAAACCTGAAATTCCCCAATAAATAGACTGGTTTCAGAAAAAAATTATCAAAATCTGTTCAGCAAATCAAATGAAAAGTTAAACAGATCACCAAATTAGAAAAAACTGAAAAGGTCATCAAATTATTAGTCCCCGAAATTCAGAGTTTAGAATATTTTATTATAATCTATCTGAATTTGCAATGATCAGATAATTCCATGCAACAGACACTTACTCCACACTACCACTACTAGTACTACTACCACCACTACCACCACTATTACCACTACTACCACAACCATTAGTACTACCAATGCCACTACTACTAGTACTACCACTAGCAGCTAATACTTCAGCTACTGATACTTTTAACCCTCATGATAACCCAATGGTGTGGGTACTATTCCTCCATCAATTTTAACAAAAGGAAAGAAACTAAGGCAAAGAGAAGGTAGATACTTTGTCCAGAGCAGCCATGCAGCTAGAGGTGGTGGAGCTGAGATGAGAATGAAGTCTGTTCTCCTAACCACTAGTCACAAAGAAAAGCTGAAACCTTTGTCTATAAACCTTATATCCTGATGACAAAACCTTCCTAAATTACATGTTTTCCTTCCTTTCTAAGTGACCAGAAATGCTTCAGCTAAGCAATTCTTGCACAGCACTTAAGTATGTGCCAGGCAGCGTTCTAAGCAAGTTACAAATGTCACTGCAATTAATCCTTATGACAACACCAGGAGTAAGTCACATCTCTGTCCTTCTGAACAGATGAGTTAACAGAAGCACTGGGAGGTGCTCAAATGTCCCAGATCACACAGCTAGCTGGTGTCAGAGCAGGAATTCAAACCTTGGTCATCTGTAGGGTTTGTATATGGTGGTACATAAAACACCCTAAAACATGCTTAATACAGCAGAGAATATATCTTTTAGATTAATCGTAAATCATTGCTTTTTGAAATGAGATGTGGAAATCAAAGCATCACTCACGGAATAGGTTATTACAGATAAAGAGTCACTAGGTGCCATTCTCAAATCTTATATATAGTCTAAACCAGAAAATGCACATGAAAAGTGAAGTCCCTGGGGACAATCATGATCAGGCCAACATTTTCTTTTAAAAACAAATAATTATATAGTTATGTGTAAATTATAAACACAATCCATACTATGACTAACAGTCATTACGACTTCATTGCTTAAACCACTGTAATGTCATTTTAGCAAAGATTTAAGACAAATTACTTTCTCCAGGGCAGCTTAAAACATTGTTCAAGTGGTTTTCTTTTCATTTTCTGGTATTAGATTAAGACCCTATTAATTCTATTTGGGTTTCAGTACACATTCTGAGGTAAGTTTTAAACATAGGAAACAAATGACATCAATAATACCAAAGAAAATGTATGCCAAGGACCAAACAGAATGAATGCGTCACCCAAACTTTATATATATTGTACAGGTAAGTGAAAGTCACAGATGAACCCAGATCATTATGAATTATAAACTTATCCTGACAATAAACTTTTTTTTGCCTGCAATAATGGTACAAACCAACCATATAAAGTTTATCTTTATAAAAGTGATTGCTATATTCCAGTTAAGTTTTGATTATTGAGTATTAATAGTAATATCTGCCAAATATATGAGATTATTATGACTACCTCTGGTTTCATGTGACATCCTCATGTCGCTTTCTGTTCTCTCTTCAAAGTCTTCTTTCACATCATCAGCATGCTGGTCTCTGAGAAAAATAAGCATTAAAATATTCTGTAATGAAAGTGTTTTGAAAAATGGTTCAGCACTGCAACCCAGTAACTTTTTATTAATTTAAAAGCAAATGCTACCACTAAAATATTAGAAAGGATCTTTCATTCTATTAAGAAGCAGTTAATACCAATAGCATCTATACATGCCATTTTTCTCCTTAGTAATTTTCCTTTACTGTTCAGAAAGATTTTAAAGCTTAGAGTGGTATTAAGGTTAACTATTCTGGAAAATAGAGCTATTGAGTAACTTAACTTCAGATTGGGGCATGTATTCATGAGGATTTTCATGTATTCATGAGGATTTTCATTTGTACTGTTTGGTAAGACCACAATTTAAGGACTGAAAATGCTCTGAAAGTCCATACTATTTAATCAAGTCACTATATACTATTCAGCTCTGAGATTTGGGATTGAGGCTGAGATTGGCTCAGGGGAATCAAATTGAATTCTAGAAAGCTTTTGCTGGCTTAATCAGGTCAAATCCATAGGCTAAACTGATAACACCCCTTTCTGACCAGGAATGACCTAATGCCAACATAAACATGTTGAGGATGCTCTAAAATGGAATGCACCCATTACAGTCTTAATTCAGAGCTTTACTCTTAAGTCAGGGACAAAAATGGCTTTTAAGGGAATAGGCACAGGCTACTTATATTTTCTTTAAAGATAAATTTCAGGGATTTAAAACCTTTCAACCTTATCTATTCCATTCTCAGAGTTTGAGTTCCTTGGCTTAGTTCATACTAAAAACAATTTATCACAACTGCTAAACAATACTTGCTTATTTAAGAAGGGGAAAGAATCACTGTTACAATGTAATAAAACATTTCTTTACATGAGCAATCAATGAAATAACTATGGAGGCTCTTACTCCATACAAAGTAGGGAGATGGAGGGGTAGTAAAAATAAAATGAGAAAATAACTAATATTTGGAGAAAGGACATTAGTTGAAGAGAAAACAGAAAACTTTGTCTTGTCTTTAAAAACAGTGAAGTTATATTTGACAATTAAAAACATGTTAAAATCATCTGACAATGCTAATATTAGCTTATGTGATCTTCTAAACTTGTTTTATAATAAACTAGAAATAATATTTTGTGAGTGTATAAATCTATCCCACTAAGTATTGTGGCCACTGAAAAAGTTGTTTGTGGATGGCTATATTAATATTTATTAGAAACAATCAACTTTACAGTGATAAAATTTTAAATTGGCATTTCTCAGAGTCAAAGAAAATAAATTCCCAATTAGTTATTATTATAGATATTCTAAAAGCTTTAATGAATGGTTGGTTAAAAAAAAAAAGACAAACTGAGATGAAAGTTAAAATGAAGTCTTAGAAATTTCTGTGTATTTCAGTTTTCATGATCAAAATTATCTACTGACAATACAGTTTTGTGATTTTAATAAAGCACATCAGTCCTTTAAAGTAAGCCTTATTAAAGCATGTTTGGTTTTCACTTTCCCTACTTTAATTCATGACATATCATTAAAATGAACCCATATAAACTCAGCAATACAGAAACATGGATATTTACCTTTACCAAACACAATTCGAATAAAGGACTCCACAAGAAATATTTATTAAATATTTTATTTCTAATTAATATATTGATTTTGCTAATTCCTTAAAATCAGAAGTGACCTAGGCCCAGGGGGTTCTATGTGTTTCCTGTAGCTAGGGAGTTGGTCCAACATGCTTCTATAATGAAGCAACATAAGTAAGAGCAAATAACTTATAATTTGTTTCTCTTTGGGGATGAATTATAGCAGATCCAGGCATGAAGAAACTTTGTGGATCATAGATCTTACTTTCTTTCTATTTCTGTTCCTTCCTAAAAAATGGTCCTTTTCTTACATTTCATAAAATAAGTCATTGGCATTATATTTGGCATGAGAATACAAAAGAGCTTTCCTCATACTTAAGTCTTATATCTTTATTTTAATAAGGCTTACTTTAAAGGGCTGATGTGCTTTATTAAAATTATAAAAATGTAATTGTTGTCATTACACAATTTCAGGAAAACTGAAACACACAGAAAGCTCTAAGACTTCATTTTAACCTTGGTCTCAGTTTGTCTTTTTTTTTTTAACCAACCATTCATTAAAGCTTTTAGAATATCTATAATAATAACTAATTGGGAATTTATTTTGTTTGGTCAAAGCCTACTAGAATAGGCATGATGAAATTGATGGATAAATAAAATCACTTAAGTGAACAGAATCATAACCAAGCATATCCAGAAATATTGAAGCAGTTAATAATGAGAAGGTTAACATTTTTTAAGATCACACCATGCACCAAAGACAGGCTGACTCTATACATGTCTAGTAGAAGGTTGTATTATTACATTCACTGAAAATAAACTTGCAGGGCAAGTATAGCACCAGGTTTTACACAAAAATTCACAATTATATTATTTTTTTCCCTTGTGTCTTTCCAGAATATACTACATAACCTTGTTACATAAAGTTAAAGGGAACTTGACTTCTTGTGTCATAATTTTATTTTCAGATTGTCTTCTATTGATAACATCAGGAATGAGGACTGACTGACTTACTAATTCTCTTGTTTTGTATTTTGCTTAAAATAAAAATTGTTTTCTCAATTGGAGACCAATATTTCTCTCTCCCATAAGGTTAGAAACTATATTGCTAATTCTGAATAGAATAAGTACTGTGATGGGTTTCTGTCTCTACGCAGAAACAAAAACTTGATCTAGGGTTTCAACTTGCTAAGCAAAAAATTAATCTAGCTGCACAGCCTTCCAATTACAGACAAAATGTTTATACCAATGTCAAAACTCTGATTTACAAAACACTCTGTAACACAGAACAAGATATGATTCTTGACAGATTTTTTTTAAAAAGACAACTAAAAATGTTTTTATGTTGTATTTTAATATTACAATTTTGCTCTACATAAAAACTCCTGTATCTTTTCCTCTTGATCAACATCTTTCATTACCAACAATTCATTTAGAAGGGGGCACAATCTGATTAGGCATGGGGGTGGTGAATCAGAGCATGGACAAAGCAGCCCAGTAGTGGTTCCAAGTATGGTCTCTGGAAGTGAACAGACCTGGTTCAAGTTTCAGTTCTACTCATTAGTTCTATATGACTTTCAGCAAGTTACTTAACCTCCTCATTTTCAGCTGCATGAATGGTACAACAGGGCAATAAATCCTTTACTGCACAGGCATTTTGAGGACTCAATAAAATAATATATAGTGAGTGCTGCACACAGCCAGACATATAGGTAGGAGCATGATAAATGGCAGCTATTACTATTTAAGAATTATTTATATTTTAGGATAAAATTATCTATGGATACCTGTTTTCTTAAACCTATTTTCTTCAAGTTTTTAAATAGCTTTGAGAGTAATGGTTGTAACTGCTTAGGTTATGATCCAAGTCTACTGCTTACCAGCTGTGCGGCCTGTGACCATGAGAGGTTCTATGTTTGTAGAATGGGGATGTAATAACCACCTATCCCACATAAGGCATTATGAGGATTAAATAAGCTAATGTAGGTAAAAGCACCTAGAAAAGTGCCTGAAATACAGCAGTTTCTCTCAAGAACCAATCTATTTCAACATTTCTTTAGCTTGAACTGAAATACAGTCATACTCTTTGGGCATTTAATTAAGACAATAGAATCCACTCAAATGGAAAAATACATTCCTTATGAGTCAGCAGTTTCGTTTCCTCTCTAATTACGTGTCATGCTTTAGATGTCTTACTATCTCCCACTAAATATGCTTCTTGTAATTATTAGTGAAACAAACATTAGAAGAGTAAATACATAGTAACAGGATGTCATTTGAATATAAACAGCTGTATTTCAAGTTTATTTTTCATTTAAAAACAATCTCTAGCCAGTTATGTTTCAATCAGTCCCAGTTTGTTAAAACAATACTGAAAAAACATAAAACAACAAATTATTTTGCTTCAATTCAGGATTTCAGCCTCCTGCCTAAATCCAGCACAAGTTTGGTTTGGCGTGTAGCTTAGAATAACTCCACCCTTCTCTTTCCAGCATAGCTTATTCTAGTCTTACAGCAGCTTTGTTAGAGGTGAAAAATATCTGTACTCCCCAGTAACACGTAGGGACACAGTGAATCTAATGAGAGCTCTAAGAAAAAAATAGGTTTTCTGTTTTGAATGTTAAAAGGATGTCTTTTTGCATGCCCTCAGCATTTTTTTAAAAATTTAATTTCTGGGCTGAGGTCATTCACAGGTAAAAAATATCAGAGAATGAGAGTCTCAGGTTATATGTTGGAGGAACTGTAAAAGAGTAGTTGAACTGTCTCCAAAAATCCCCGCTAAAATGAAGAGAAGACTGCTTGAACAGCGCCAGAGTAAGGAGGTCACCATCTTCAAAGGGATTTAGAAAAGATGGCAAATAAAACCAGCAGGATTAAAATTGAATGTCTTTGTGGTTAACATTCGAATAGAGTTTTTAAAATTAAATTACTTTTGAGATGACACATTAGCAATAGTTTTCATTAACATGGCCTAGGAGAGGTAAACACAGCTTACTATTTGTCTAATGACTAAAAACAAAATGTTTTGATTAATCAGCCTATTAAATTGTAACTTAGCATAAGGAATATGTTAGTGAAGAAAAGGAATATAATCAGTAAATACAGTGGACATTATCAAAATACCAAGGAAAAATGCCCCAGAAAAACGAATTCAGCAATTAGTTAATCCTCTTGTCAAATGAAAAACCCTAACCAATAAGTTGAGATTTAGGAAATAAACACCATGTATCACAAGAAGAGTGAGATGGCATGACTTTTCTTGTTGTTGTCACAGAAAAGAGAAAACAGGTGACTTTGCCTTTCTATATCTAAAAGTCTCTTGAGTCAGGAGTTGGTGTTATTCAAGGAGATAAATAACTAAAACTGTTACAATACTGTTCCACCGATTTCACAGACAGACAACAATAACACAGGCATTTGTTATTAC